GTCTGGAGGGCATGGGTGGGATACATGTGGGGCGACCCCAGGAAATGCCTCATTCAGCCTCCTTTCTGGAGCCGGCTGCCCACGGCAGTCTGGCGTGAGCTGAGGGCCTGGCATCCGGGCACACAGCCTCTGGGTTTGGAGCTCACTCGAGCTCTCCACAGCTCAGGGGCAGGCGGCGCTGCGGCGCAGCTGGTGAGAACAGCCTTAGAGGAAGGGGTGCCCAAGGAACTCTGTGTCAGGGACCAGCGTCCAGCCTTCGGGCTAGGAGCCATTCAACAGGTTGTCAGCAGCGAGGCCAGGAAGTACAGGGGTAAGCTCCTGCGCTTGCAGCGGGTGGAGAGAAGTGCTGACTGCTAAAACCCTTTCAACTTGTTTCTCTGTTTCAGACAATGCCCTGAGAGAAGACCACAGAAAACAACAACAAAAATGCTTTAACTCCTTCCTCTTCTCGGTGACCTCACTAAACTCAGATCGCTATCATTTCCTTGGAATCTAAATTCTCCACCCAACAGTGCCCACCCACCACCTGTAAATACGCCACGTATGGAGACGCATGACCACAACTGCATACACCTTCCACATGCCAGGACGCGTCTCTGGTGTGAGTATGCACAGGTGTCCCCTCCACAAGCCCCTTCCTTCCTTAGATCAGGAGACGGTGCTTAAGCAGGTAGCACGGGTGTTCTGTTCCTGGCGGCAAGGGACAAACTTCCTCCACTCTTCATACCACGGGCGAACCCACTGTGTCCACTTACCAAGTTTCCTTCACAGAGTCAGAAAACGATCAAAGGGGTTTGCAGACCAGGTGAGCCACGAGAGTTTCCTCACGGACAGGCGAGGAAAGGGGCTTGGAGGAGGGGCCTGGGCCAGGGCAGGCAGCTGGTGGCCTGGGGGTGCAGGCAGCCCTGGCCAGAAGTGGCCCAGCTCATGCCACCCAGCAGTCTCTCAGGTTGCCTTCCCTGGGGTCCCCAAATCAGAGTCCTCTGGAGGTATAGGTCCACGGAGGGGGCGTGGTCCCCTTGCTCAGGCTCTGGAGCGGTTGTGACATCCCCTCCCCTGCAGGTCTGGAAGCCTAGCAGGAGAGAACAGAGGCCTCGCGCCCCGTTCTTGCACAGCCCCTCCCGTCCCTAAGGCCCCGCCCAAGTGACCCCGCCCCTCTGAAGCCACGCCCACATCCCTTTCTCAGAAGCCCCACTCCTGCAGGCCCCACCTGCCAGGCACCTCCCCACATCTTCCCCTGGGCAGCAGTGAACCCGGCTGACCTGAGGCGCAGTGCCCCGGCTCGGGCCCGGCCTTCCTGTGTGGAATTGCTCCCCTACCTGTGTCCCCACAACGAAGCCGCATCCCCCAGGCCTCCTGCGGTTAAGGAGGGCAAATTGCGCCTGGGCCCTAGACTTCTGCTCCGCACTGCTGCCATGCTTGGCCTCTCAGTGCCATGCCTTTGCTGTCTGGCGGCCCTGGTGCTCAGTGAGCCTGCGCGCAGATGATGCAAGGGCAATGGGGCACATGGGGGTGGGGTCATGGGGACATGGCCTCGAGGACCCATTCCATGTGAGAGCTACTGTGCATACAGTAGGCAGTACAACCTCTGGGGCTCAAAGGTGTGGCCTGGGTGGGGACCAGGAAGTCAGGGGACCTCATAGTGAAGTGTCCTCAAGTGGAAGAGAGCAGGAGAACTTACCAGGTGAACACAAATGTGCACAATAGGAGTGGGACCAAGGGTGGGGGTGGAGGGGCGCTGGCCTGAGGTGTGAGATGCAGAGGGCAGCACCCCAAAACCTGGACACCTTGCTGGATTTATTAGGACCCAGTCTGTGGCGTATGCAAGGGAAGGGATCTGTGTCCCTGCTCCAGGCATCATGACTTTCTTGCTCAAAGGACACACAGAATGGAGAGCAAGAGCTGGAGCCCGAGGTGTGGATACCCCACCCTACATGCTGAGGAAGGAGGATGTGGGAGCTGGAGCTGAGCCTGGGCAGGTGCATTGAAGGTGGGCATGGATGCTAGCTTTCACGTAGTTGGGGCACAATGCACTACAACTTACAGGACAGGCTTAACTTGGCTCAAGGTTTCAGGGGATTCAGTCCATTGTTAGCTGGTCCAAGACAGAAACATCATGGCAGGATGGTTTGGTGGTGCAAAGCTTAGTTTCTGGCAGCCAGGACGCAAAGCAGGGGACAGCGCCAGACAGGTGGAAATTGGGTCACAAGCCCTTTTGCCCATCCATGATCCACCTGAACTGAATTTCTTCGCAAGAAGGAGAGAGGTGGCAAAGGCCACTACAGGCTGGTACATTGTGCTGTGATTACAGGCATGTACCACCATGTCTATGTCACGATTTTTTTTAAGTCAGAAAAAAATAGACTGGCTCACACTGGTTTATAATGGTAGCCCTTAGAAAACTGTAACATTGTGACTGATAAGAAGATACATAGGGGGCTGGGGATTTAGCTCAGCAGCAAAGTGCCTGCCTGGCAAACGCAAGGTCGTGAGTTCAGTTCCGGGTACCAGAGAAAAACTAAAAAAAAAAAAAAAAAAAAAAAAAAAAAAAAGAAGATACATAGATATTTGTTATAAATCCATATCTACCCCCTTTGTTCCCAGTCCTGGAACACAGCTCCTAACACCCTTGGAATCCCTAAAATAAGAAGCATCTATCTTCCTGCATGCTAATGCATGGCTGGTGCCAGGGACCAGCCCTGTGATCCAAATGCTGGGACCTTCAGGTGCACTGGCCCTTCATCTTGAGAGACTGGAGACGACAACGGTCATGGTGACCAATGCTGACGTCACAACACTTTTTTTTATTTTAAAGAGTAAAAACAATAAAACAAAATTTCACAACAAGATTGTAGGAGAGTAACAATGGTTAATACATTGCTTATTGTTATCTTCAAAGTAGTTGCTGAGATTATAAGATATAGGCATAAAAAACTGATCAAATGACATAAGCACAAACCTCTCTTTTGAATGAATAGAAATTAGTAGTATAGCTATCTTAACTATCTTGTGTACGTATATCTTGTGTAAATATGTATTTACTTTTCCTTTTCCCATCCTGATGGAGACCACTACAAAGTGGCTCTGAGTAGTCAGAAAAAAATAGACTGGCTCACACTGGTTTATAATGGTAGCCCTTAGAAAACTGTAACATTGTGACTCATAAGAAGATACATAGTATTAACCAACTGACTTTCCATGTTTACTTGTGAGCCTGTACAAGGCCTAGGCCCCTTGTCTAAGGCCGGGGCTGAGGACGTCTGGCTCCAACCCCAATTAACTAAAAGGAGACTGCAGCTGCAGGCTCCACACTCCTACAATAAACGTCAACCTAAAGATAAGGTGGTTCTCCTGATTGACACAATTTACTACTTGGGAAAATATCTCCCAAGGTCCTAAGATTCCACTCAGATTCCTGCGTTTTCAATATTCCCCTCCTTTGCTTAAAAACCAAATAAATACAGGCTGCCGAGAGAAGTTCTTTGTCTCAGCCTGCACAGAATCTCAAATTCTGTTAGAGGGTTTTTAACCTCCTGGAGCCCTGAAATCATACCACTGGTCTCTTTTATTTTAGCCTTTGCTGTCCACTCATTTGGGAGATTGTGGGCCTGATCAGTCTGCAATAACTAAGGGATATTAACCTGTTACCTTCCTTCTTTTCTCCTTTCTTCATCCCAGTTTCTCTTTCCTTTTGAACAGTTAGTTTCTGCCCATTTCCCAGTATCTGTTGTACACTTTGGATCTTATTTACTCCTTCAGCTTCTTACACAAGGGAGACAATACAATGTTTACACACGCGAGACTGCTTTATTTCACTTATGAGTACGGTCTCTAGTTGCATCCACTTACCTGTAAATTTAAACTTCTTTATAGCTGAGTAGTACTCCATTGTATAAAAGCAGTTTCTTCAGTTGATGGGCATTTGGGGTGTTTCCAAGGTTTAGCTATTACAAATTGTGATGCTATAAAGCCACCACACTTTCTTAACTGAGTCCTAAAACCCAGCTATTGGTTACTGAGCCCACAGAGGTACCTGGTGGGTAGCAGCCCCTTCCTCATCCTCAAATGATATTTATATCTTCATGTCTGGTCAACCCAGACTTTAAAACAACCTTTGTAATAAATCGGCAATAGTATGTAAAGCGTTTCCCTGAGGTCTGTGAGCTGCTCATGCAATCCATGGTAGTGGTCACAGGCACCTTAATGTGTGGCTGGTCCTTGGGAGCTCCGGTGGAACGGCCTATGATGTGCGGCGCTGACCCAACTCCAGGAGGACAGCATCAGAGCAGCTCACATGGCGGGCAGACAGCAGGTGGTACGTGAGGACGCCCCACACAGCAGGGACTGCCAGTGAGAAGCCACAGTGAAGGAAGACGTAGCAGGCACCAACAGTGCAGTGGCTTTTTCCACTACACAGACAAGAATACAAATGGGATAGAGCGAGGCTTCTGACTAGCCAGTCTCATTTCAAACCAGGCGTGGTGGTTCACACCTGTAATATCAGCACTCGGGAGGCTGAGGTAGGAGGATTACTGAGAGTCCAGCCTGGTCTACAAAGTGAGTTTGAGGCCAGCCTGAACTACATAGCAAGTCCCTGTCTTAAAAAAAAAAAAAAAAAATCAAACAGCTTTTCCATAGCTGGGTGTGGTGGCATGCACTGAGGAGCCTGACAGCGTTGCAAGTTTGAACCCCACATGGACAACCTCACAAAACCCAGTCTCAAAGTTCTGAATGGGGGCTATAGCTGGGGAGGTGCAGAACACCACTGGATTTGATCCTTTAGCACTAGAAGAAAAACATCAACAGGCCCAGAGAGGCGTGGCCATTCATTAGGAAAGCTTCATTTTTCTCTGTAGCAGCAGAGATCCACGGCTTGCGTTGCTGAACAAGCTTTCATGGGAAAGTCCTTGAAAACAGCAGGCCACTAAAGGTAAAGACTCTGGGCTCAACCCCCAGTACCTCTAAAGAACAAAACCTAATAAAAAAAGGACACATTCAAATCAGGTAGAGATCACCTTTCTTTTAATGGAGTTACTGAATTCACAGTTTCCTTTCTTGGCTGCTACACTGGTAATAATCAGGTCCCAACCTCTAAGAACATGACATCCGACCAGTCCGAGGGCCAGTGTGAACACGAACCCAAAGGGCTCTCAGAACAGTCAAATAAGAACAGCAAAATACGAGCCTTTCCTTTCAAATAGAAAGGGACAGAATTGGAGGGTCCAGATCCTCACTGTCCAGACTAGAAAACCGAGCTCAAGGTGAGTGGAAACCAAAGTGTATGAGGAATGCAGTTTGGAAAGGGCGCGGCGGCCCTGACCACCCGGCCTCTTCTATGAGGAATGGCCCCGCGGGAGCATTTTAGAAGGAAGATGTTGCTGTTTCTATTTAACTTCCCAAACAGGTATGAAAGCTACGATAAGGGATGATACGGATCAGAATAAATCAACTCACTCATAAGAAACACTCCTGGCTAACAATTTTCAATTGCTGAGAACATTCAGTACATTATTTCAGAGTGGCAAAATTCAGGGCAATCTGAGAGAGAGAAATCTAAAGTGGCAGCTACACTGCCTGACAGGTTTATGCAGGACATACACACACACACACACACACACACACACACACACCCTCCGCTTTCCTTTTCAGTGTATCCATCAAGGGGCCAAGCCCCGATCATCAAAATAAATTATTTTATACATTACAGTGCACAGACCAACACAGGGAAAGACATTGCTTGGAGAGTAATAAAAGGGTGTTTTGCAAAAGGTCCATGTCACTCTGGAATGGGAGGACAGGAGCCCACACGGTGGCCTGCATTAACTGGACGCTGCCTCTTCTTTGGTGGCAGTGGCTTCAGTGGGAGCTGCTTCCTCTGCATGTTCTGCTGGCTTCTCTTCTGCCTCCTCCTCTTCCTCGTCCTCTTGGGGATACAGGTCGGGGTACTTCTGCATGCACTCCTGCATGGCCCGAAACTGGTCTATACAGTCCGACCCCTTGATGTCCTCCGTGCTGTAGTGGAAGCAGGAGAAGGCCGACTTAAACTGTTCCCCACAAGGGCCACTGGCCATTCCCCCCAGGCATGGGCAGTTCCAGTTAATGTCTCCATTTGGCAGTATCAACCCTGTGGAGGGAAGGCGGCAAGGGAAAAGTGAGAGGTGCCCTTCAGGTCTACTCCAGTCCTCCTGGGGCCTGCTGAGCCCTCCTCTCTGTACCCAGCCCTGGCTCTGGAGCAGGTCGAAAGGCCTAGCACAAGTCTAGCCTTCCTCAGCCTGCAGGACAGGGTGCACACCCCTCTTCAGGAACAATACTGAACGGAGCTCTGTGCCACCTCCCAGTGCTGGAGGCTGTGCTGAGAAGTAAACTCCGGAAGCTATTTATGCCCTAGAAGCCTGCAGTTAAGGTGGTCCGCGGGGCTCTTTGAAAGCCAACACTTGAAGGAACTGCATTACTGATCCTGTCCCACGGTCCCTGAGCCCTTCCCACGCAACCGTGCGACAAGCTCAGCAGCGGGGACAGGTGAAAATGAAGTGGCGAACCCACACGCATATGTGCGGGAAGCTAGCTGCGCATGACATGCTGTGCGATGAAAACTAACGGCTATCAGGGCAGTGTCACTGCATTCTGTGGAAAGAAATTATTAGAGCTGGGCTGTGGCTCAGTGTAAGAGCACTTGCCCGGGATGCACAAGGCCCTTGGTTTGACCTTCAGAACCAAAAACACCCCCCAAAACAAACCAAAAACTCAAGCCTAACTATGGTACTGTTAAAATGCATACAGGTGAACTTTTAGATGGGTTTTCATTGTCAATGGAAGTGAAAGCCTCTTAACTTTTGCGTTTTATCTTGCCTCATCTTTGAACTTTGTTCGCATCTACATGGTACTGATAGACAGCATGTGATTCATATAAAGGTTGATTGTATGAACCCCTACGAAGGCAGAGCAGCCTTTAAAAGAGCCTCTACATTGGCCACTGGTGCTCCACAGGAACTTCCCTCCAGGAACATGGCCAGGCATGGCACTCACACCCATGTGCAAAGTCCTGGCTGAGCCCCGTCTCTCCATTCTAGCCCCGGAAGCTGCACTGCTCAGCGTACCTGCTGCCACCAGTTCCCATGCACTGCAGGGTAACGGTGCTACCAACTGGCACTGTGCCTTTGCGACCATTCACCACCAACACTAGCAACAGCCACACAGCAGGCGCCTGCGCACTGAGTTACACCCGGTGACCCGGTCATCTTCAACCACCTTCCACCGTGGCACTAACTCCTGTCTACATGTGTGGTTTCCAGGCTTTGTGGGGTCTAAGCCAGACCACCAGGACTCCCAGAGTCCATCTCTGGCCCACACCTCTCCAACTCTCCTTGGGACTCTCAGTGCTGAAAAGGCAAATGCTACCCTTGGAGGTGCACCTCTGCTAACAACCTGCACAGGCAGTTTCCCAAGGAAAGATGACACTCAAAAGCGACAGCCCAGGTCTGCAGGGACTCAATATAAATCCACACAGATAGGGGCCTCAATAGTTAAATTAAGGCCAGACGTACATTTAAAAAAATCACCAAAAGGAAATAAAACAAAGCCTGATTTGTGCTGCAAGCCTCCAGACTCTTGATTAATTAACAAGCATGCTGAACTAGTTTGGACCTAACAGTAGGCAGAGTATGGGAACTCACGTGATTTTTCTTTATAAAATAAATTCAAGATTACTCCTCCCGAGTGAAGATTACTCCTGCAGCTGTCATTCTCAGAATACTAACACTGTGTATGGCTCTACTATCGACTGTTCCCAACAGGGTGCTAGGTGAGGTATGACTGAAGAAAAAAAATTTTTTTTTTTAAAATTTGCTATAATAAAACACACGTTAAGCCCCCTGAAAATATTCCTCTTTGATATCATTGTCCTTGCTGCTTCGTGAACTAGCTCTGAAGACCTCTTTCCTGGGTGTCTTTGCTTGTGCTTTCAAGGCTGCCTTGATGTCCTCACTCTATTAAAAACATTTACCTTTCATGGTCATTTTGACTTTGAGGAGGAGCTGGAAGTCACATGGTGCCAGATCTGGAGGATAAGGTAGACAAGGACACACTACCGTATTTTTACCGGCCTGCCTTTCCACTGGGTAGCACTGGGCAGCAGCATTCACCTTAGTTTTGACTTACCTCAAAAAGACACTCAAAAAAGAGGGCTTTCAGAACTGCTCTGGAAAGTGGCAAGAACAACAGGATAAGTGTGTTGAAAGTGTTCTGAGCCGGGGGCGCGGGGAGGGGGTGACGACAACGTATCTTTTACCATAATAGATTCTGATTTAAATATTCCTAATCCTACTGCATATGCATGCTCAGCTTTCCTCTAACCTGAGCAGCAGGAAGGGTAACAAGTGAGGTGTCCCATCTTAGAGTATAGACACCATTTAAAAACTTCAAGTTCTTCAGCCGTTATCTATCACCGGTTAGTACTAGGAGGCTTCTCAGTGGTCACGATGGGCATGAGGAGTGAACGACTGTTGCTTATTATACACAGCTGAGCGCAGCGAAGGCCCAGCACCTCCCCAAGGGAGAGACTGGCGCAGTGTCAGGACAGCTGCCCGGGGCACCATGGGAGGACAATCCTCAACGTTGAGCCTGCCCTAGGACACGGTGGGGGTCCCCAGGAAGCCCTGCATCACTTACCATGTTCCTCGTATGGGTCGTTGGGGTCGTCGGCCACCAGCTCTGCACTACTGGGGGTCTCGTGGTCTTCTTTGGTCACAAATATTATTTGGTCTTTGCCTAGTGTTTGGAGAGTGGAAGGAGAAATGTATCACTTGAGAGCCGTACAGTCCGCCTTATGCCCAGAGTGGCCATGGACACACAAAACACCAACTATTGCTCCCCTGGGTGGCATCACTGGCTCTAGAGGATGGCCCAGCAGCCACTTCCCTGAGAGCCTGAGCTGGAACAAAAACTCCACTGAGGCAGCACACCCTGCCTTCTGGGTGCACCCTACAGGTAGGGGACACAATGCTCCAGTCCACCAAAGGTGGCTGCTTCTTCCCCAATTTGCTGACAGTCCCCCGGTCTCATCCTCATGAAGAAAGCAGTAGCAGCCGGGTGTGGTGGTACACACCTGTAACCCCAGCACTTGGGAAGCTGAGGCAGAAGGATTGCTCTGAGTTTGAGGCCACCCTGGGCTACACAGTGAGCTCAAGGCCAGGCTGCATTAGGAAGAAAAACAACAGCACCTCCACCCTCAAGAAAGAAATGAGGAGGAAGCATTTTCTGAAGGTTCTCATGGCACCCACTGTCCACACCACCCTGGCTGTAGGCTCTCTCCTGCATGATACGACTGCCCACATGCCCAGCAACTGGCAGACCAGATGACCTTGCAGAGCACAGGGTCAGGGTGCTCAGCACTTGCACTGTGTTATGGGGCAGGAAAAAGGCTCTGAAGACAATGCATGCTTTCTATACCCCGGGGGGGGGGTTTACCCACTTGGGTCCAAATGTAGAGTCTGAGGAGGATCAAGGCCTGGGCAAAGAGAAGCACATGGCGATGTGGAGGCCTGGCCTGTGGGCTGATGCAGCCAGTCTGCCCAGGATGATGATGCCCAGGCAGCTCCCCTGAGGCTGACAGACACAGGTGGCCTGGAGGGTGAAGACCCTCCAGGAGAGGGAAGGGTCATGGCAGTGGGGAACGCCACAGCCATCCCACAGCCTGGGGCCGGGGAGCCTGTCACAGAAGTGCTCAACCTCGGTGCCCAGTATCCACAAACCACACACAGCGTCCTGTCCAGGACCAGAGCCCCAACCTGTGGCCTGGCTGTCAGAGGGTCCTGCAGCCTCCAGGGAAACATGTGGGAGCCAGATACACTTTACACCAGCAGTGTTTCCTAATAGGGGGACTGGGTAGGCACAGAAAAAGGCATCAGAACTGATCACACTGGGGTGGGGCATTCAATACCTGGTTTTACCTAAACCTTACAATGTCCTGCAGGCATTACCCGACCCACAGAGGGCAGCAGGAAATGAAGAGCCAGAGTGGTTACCAAAGACCAATGGGGAAGTGGCAGGCCTGATCCCACCTAGCCATGTCCTTCACTGTCCTCCCCTGGATGCTGTGCAGCTGTAAGACCGTCACCCATCTTCCGGAATGCTCTGGCCATCAGCTGGCCGACCACAGGGACACACCAGCTGTTTCCATTGTGGCAGGGAGCACCTCAACATCAGTGCCCCATGCACAAGAGGGATCATTCCTCTCCCCGACAGTCCCCACAGGATGGAGCACATGAGTTTACCCCATCCCTGAACAGGAGGGGACAGCAGCAGCCCCTCTACTGGGGCTAAGCCCAGGGTCTGGGCAGGGACTTGCCTGGGCTCACCCAGGGCTGGAGCCTCCAGACTGGCCCACACCCAAGGCCCCTCTCCAGCACAGGAGCAAGGATGGCTGACCAGGTAGGTACCCAGCACCATTTGCACAGAGAACCAAGGGAACGGCTGCTGAGTGAATGTGAGGATCGTGATTGAATCTTCTGGGAAAAGTACAAGGGCAAATTCGACAGCCCTCCTGACTGTTCAGCTGACTCCAGGAGATCTGAGACTTTAGGATCCTTAATGGGTGGGGATGAAGACTTCAGCTACATCTAAAGTGCCACAGTCGGACCTGAGTGAGTTCTCCCATGTTATCTCCAAAGAGACCAATGATCCCATGTGGCTCAGGGGACATTTGGGCCAGCAGTAGGGACATGTCAGGGGCTAGTGTTAAAGAAAATGCTGGAAGCAGATTGCAAAGTGTCAGATACTAAGCAGAATCGGTAGACACAGCCTATAAAGCACAGAGGTCATGTCTCGCCCAGCCAAAGCTGAACCAAGCCCTCTGGCGGGTCCAGCCTGCTTGTGGGCTTCACAGCAGAGTGGGGATACACAGCCAGGTCAGGATTCACAGGCCTGGCACAACACGGAGAAGGCCCAGGTTTCTGCCACCAGGCCAAGCCTCCAGCACCACCCTGGACAGCAACCTTAGTGCATGTTCACTGTGGGCTGCAGGAAGACCAGCAGCAGTGCATCTTCTGTCAGGTGTGTCAGACGTCCATGAGGTCATCAGGCTGTCACAGCCACAGAAACAGGTGTGACCTGCTCACCTTTTACAGTGCAAGAGGGGAAACAGCCCGAAGTTGCATGGTGGGCAAGGACAGGGCAGGAGCTAACTTTGGCCAAAAGGATCCGAGCATGCTACCTCATACTGTGTGCCCCACCAGGCCTTTCTCTCTGGCACTTTTAAGAAGGCACAGGGGCTGCAGGTGTCAGTCAGAGCAGAGCACTTGCCCAGTGCATGCAAGGCCCTGGGTTCCACTCCAACACTGACAAAGCAGAAAAAAGGAAGGAAGCACATGTAGAAATGATGAAAGTCAGTGCTTATTTATGCTTTTCCAAACCTAGCTGTAAAAGTACCAGTTTTAAGAAGGCCAACTAGTACACTAATCAGCCAGACTTGTTCTCATGAAATAGCTCAAGAAGCATTTTTCTAGAGAAATAAAATATAGAAATCCTGTTTTCATTTCCAAGATCTAAAGAAAAAAACCCAGAGGTGGGATTCACATCCTCAGAAGAATGTGGGCAGTTTCTGCTCCCGGTGGCACTGGTGTGAGGAGTGCCCAACCTTGGCTTAGCCCTCCACCTCTCAGGTCAAACAGAGCAGGTGAGTGAGTTTCTGCTTATTAATGGCATGACTGACAAGGGTACAGTGGAAACACCAACCATAGGCTGCAGAAGAGAGACATCGGGAAACGGGCTGAGCTCGCCCACTCACCCAGTGGTGATAGGAGCCTGGGGGAAGCCACTCCCTGCCCCAGAGGCTGGGCAATTGGAACCAAGGTGCTTGTTCCCAGCTGTGGTTCCACTCTTCATCGAGCAGTATGTGGCTCAGTCTCTTTAAATGGCTCACTCTCAGCACTCTACCTGCAAGTGCATCCAGATCTGTGCCCGCACCTCTGGACATTCCCCACCCCCAGCTGAGTGGTGCCCCAGGGCGGCCGTGGGGAAGACATGAGCAGCCAGAAGAAAAGCTGCTTTAGTTGGCCTGGCTCAGTTGGACTTGGAGTACTTCATGAGATTTATCAAACTCTTAAAACACACAAACTGTGCAGGGTTTTCAGGTTTAGAATCTAACTCCCTTGACAAATGCAGCAGCCCAATATTTAGGAAGGAGATTCTAAATGTAGGAAGATTTCACGCAGCAAATACCTGCTGAGCCCTCAGTCTGTGCTAGAGACCTTTCCAGTGCTTGGGGACAGAGATCAAGATTCTCTTCTGGACCTTTGGAACCCCAGACCCAGAGGGAATCATGAAAAGCAGTGGTCTGTGAGGAGTACACGAAGAGCTTTCAGAAACAGTGTAAAGAGAAAAATGCCACAGGTTGTGTTGGCTTTCTTTTTCTCCCCTCCCTCTTTCCCTCTTTCCCTCCTTCTCTCTTTCCCTCCCTCCCTCCTTCCCTCCCTCCCTCCCTCTCTTCCTCCCTTCCTTCCTTCCTTCCTTCCTTCCCTCCCTCTTTCCTTCCAGGCTGGCCTTGAACTCACTTTGTAGCCCAGGATGACCTGGAACTCGAAGCAATCGTCCTGCCTGAACCTCCCGAGTGCTGGGATTATAGGCGTGTGCCACCACTCCCAGCTTGGGTTAGCTTTCATCACTGTTTTTTTTTTTTGTTTTTTGTTTTTGGTTTTTCTCTGGTACCGGGAACCGAACTCACGACCTTGCGCTTGCCAGGCAGGCGCTTTTGCCGCTGAGCTAAATCCCCAGCCCCTAGCTTTCATCACTGTAGCAAAGTACCTGAGATAATGATCAACAAAGCTGATTTAAGCTTTAGGGGTTTGGAGATTCCAGTCCAAGGTCAACTGGACATGCAGCTTTGGGCCACTGATGGGCGCTGGGTGGAGATATCAAGAAGTGACCAGAACCTCCCGTAAGACCCCCTAACTTTCTCATGGTGCCGCCCTGGAGACCACACCTTTCACACATGGGCCTTGGGGGGACACTCAGGATGCAAGTGATAGCAGAGGTTTAGCTCAGCCTTCATTAGCTTCAGCTCTGTGTGGGACTTAGGGGTCACAGCTGAACATAACACAGGCCCCCTATGGAAAAGCCTGATGGGGAGGGAAATTTCCATCAAGAAGCGGGTGCTAGGGAAGGGTTTCCCGTGGGGCAAGGCCCCTGCCAGAGGTTTCAAGGAGCAAGGGATGAATGACATCTCAGGAGTCCCAGCAGCAAAGCTGGAAGGAAAAAGGTGTTTCTGGAAGATACTCTACAAATGGTCAGAAGACAGGAAGACGGTCTAAGAAAGGAGAACCTGAAACAGTCTCTGAACAAGGGAAACCTCTGACCCTCTGCACATTTCTGGTTCTCACGCCATCTCTTCCATCATGTCACGAAGGCAAAGAAAGTGCAGCCTTGCTCACGACTCCATGCCTAGTGGCTGACACATCACACACATTCAATAAACATTTGTTGACTGACCAGGACAGGGCAGGCTCTGCATTAGAAAGAAAACATTGCCAAGAGTGGTGGCATGTATCTGTGATGCCAGATACTCTGGTCCTAGCTCCTTGGGAGGCTGAGGCAGGAGGATTTCAAGTTCAAGGGCAGCTCAGTAAAACCATATCGAAGTAAGACAAGAGAAAGGGACTGGGGATGTTGCTCAGTGCTCTCTGGGTTCAATCCCTGATAATGCAGAGAGGCAGAGAAACAGGGGTGAGGTATCTAAGGAAGGTCTACTCCTGAGTTGTTTTCAGTTCTCAACCCCTAACTAGGAACCAGGAAACGTCAGGGCTCCAGGTCATGCTGTCAGACAGTGCCACCAGCCTCTCCTTTCCCAGAGAAACTGTGGATCCTGTGGGTCCTCCAGAGAGGCGATTTTACCAGCACAGCCTTTTTACCCCAAAGGCTCAGAATTTCCTGAAAAGGTAAAGCACACGCAGGAGAAACAGAAAACAGGTCGTGAAGGAAACTGCTTAACGCCTGGGGAGACCAGGGCTCCCAACTGTGGCGTCCGAGAGGTGTGCGTCCCTCCAGACACTGCGCTCACAAGGGACAGCGGCTATGTCCAGAAGCCGGATGTGGAGCTGGGCGAAGGCTCCATAGTTTAAACTGTGCTCAGACTGGATAAATGACCTTCGGTTCGTCGCCTCCCTCTCTGGGCTCCGGACTCCCTAATGACCGCGCACCAAGTGATTCCTGGGTGCTTGCCAGTTCTCTCCTTTTTTTTTTTTTTAATTTTTAAACTTGTGAGCCAGGTCTCGCCCTGTAGTCCGCCAGCTGGCCTGGAACTCGCTGCGATCCTTCGCCCCAGCCTCCCGGCGTTCCCAGGCTCGGTCCCAGCGGCTGGGGGTTCCCAGTGCCCACCATTCCCGTTACGGGCTGGGAGGTGCTTCCTGCGCCCGCGGGCGAGGCGCGACCTCCAGTGCCCCCGAGGGTCGGGTGGCGCGGGACCGGGAGCTGCCCGGCCGGAGTCTGGGTTGCAGTCCCCGCTTGTGGCCTCACGGCCGCGGCCAGACCGTTCACCCGACCTCGCATCGCCCCGGGGCCCCGGCAGACCGCACGGAGCCTGACCCATAAAGGTCGCGCAAGCCACGTGGGTGCCACAGCCCCGAGCCCCGGCACGTGGTGCGCGGCAGCATCCCCTCCGGGAGCCCGCGCGCCACACTGCCGAGAGGCCGGCCCGCGCTCGCCGTGGGCCCCCGCGCCGCTCCGCGTAGATCCCGTCGCCCGGCCCCACTCACCTTCCTGCCGGCAGTACGACATGGCGCCGGCGCTGCCACTCCCCGCGAGAGACCTCGCGCTCCTCACTCCAGCAAGCGGACTCTAAGCTCCGCGCACCGCCCTCAGGCCTGCCCGCCGCGGGCTTGCCGGAAACTACGCTTCCCAGCAGGCCGCACGCCTCTGAGGCGGCTCCTAGCCACAAGAATTACATTTCCCAGGAACCCTGGAGTGCGCAGGCGCACCAGCTAAGGACCGCGGAGGCCGCAAATTTGTTGCGAAAGCGCCTCACACCCCCACTAACTACATTTCCCAGCAGGCTGTGCGGCACGCAGGCGCATAAAAACCGAAGGGCGGTAACTCAATAGCCAGTCGCGCGGGGGTCCTGGTGTCTGAACCGGGTTGCGAGGCTCTGGTCAACAGAGAAGCCAGCAGGCTGCAAGCTGCCGGGCCAGTCCACTTCCAGCGGAGCGAGTCAAGGGCGGGAGTCCGGCCCCAGCATGGCCGCTAACGTGAGTGTCCTGAAGGATGCCTGTCCGGTCCTCAGAGGCCCCTGGGATCCGCCCTTGGTGCAGATCCTGGGCCCTGGAGCTCGGACAGGGGAGAGGGAGTGGTACTTGTAGCTGGACGGGCCCCTCGGGCCAGAGCCTGATCGTTAGGGCGGGGAGGCGACCTTGCCTGGAGCTGTGCAGCCTCGGCTGCCGGGGTGTGCGCGCCGGGGCAGGGAGCCTCCGCCCAGAGTACGCGCGGACCTGGAGAGGTCCCTGCCGAGGGCTCCTCAGTACTGCCCGCCCCTTCTGCCCCGGCCTTCCTCAGAGATTCTTTGAGACCCGGGCGTGGTGGTGGATGCCTGCAATTCCAACACCTGGGCGGCTGAGGCAGGAGGATCGCTGCGAGTTCCCGCCCAGTCTGGGCTACAGAGCAAGACCGACCCA